ACCTTTTTTTTTTTTTGCCCCTAAAAGACTGCTGTTGGAAAAGAAAGATATGAAGAAATGACTTAATACAATGTGTCTACACAATTGTAGGGTTGTATGAGATTCTTGTAGAATCTTAGACTTTACTGCATGTGCATAGAGAAATAACATTTGGGATAATAATTATGAAGGTTTCTCTAGTATCTGTTTCTCTGTAAAGTATATATTAACTCATTCAATTTTTACAGGAAAGCTGCAAGTAGATATCACTATCCCTAGGGAAAATGAGAAAACTCAGATTCAGTGAGAGTAAGGAACTTGCCCAACACTGCACATCTTGGAAAGAACAGGGCAAAATTTGCTCTTTTCCTCTTAAATCTCTAGTCTTGAACTTAAATCTTTAATCTTCCAACCCCATGATAACCCTCACTCCTTAAAAAAAAAGTCTTACAAATTGCCTTGCCCAGTTTACACTTAGTTTTTCCTTGCAATGTAGCTGATGATTATCTGATACAAAAATAGGGTAACCAGGTAACCATTTAGAGTGAACAGGGGGAGCTCCGGAAAGACAGCTGGTGGAGGGTGTGGCAGGATCAGACACCTGCCTGGCCCTGCCCTGTCGTGGCAGGATCGGACACCTGCCTGGCCCTTCCCTGTCACTATTTCACTGTGTTCTGCCCTGCGTTCTGCCTTCCTTCCTTTTGAACAGAGAAAAGAAATGCATGGGGAATTTTCTTTCAGTGCTGATTTACAAAATGGCATTTGGGAGGGCATTCAAGATTCTCTCCACCACCTGGTGACTTTCCAGTCTTATTTCCGTTTCTACTATTTGGGAAATGCATTTTACTTTGAAGGCAGGTCATAATGCTAGGCCAGCAGATAAATATCAGATGGAACCATTTTTTTCCCCCTGAAAATTCTTTAAATTTCTCAAAAGTTCAGGACCTACTCTTGGTTCTCACTACCAGAAGAAGAGTGATCACAGTCCACAGTGGATTCATGTCTTATCTTCCACATTCACTCCAAGGTGTACAGTCATTGACTATGCTGGCCTACACTTTCGTCATTTTTCTCTCCTATCTACTGAGATTACATATGTGATTAAACACACAAGTAATGCAGTGCCGCTGAACTTGCATTTCCCCCAGATGTTCTGAGGCATGCCATATTCATGCTATGCTGTTTTCTTGATCTAGAATGTCTTTCCTCTACATCTCCCATGTCCAGATGCTAACTCCTTGGGAAGCCACTCATGACTAGTACCTCTGTTTTTTCACACCCCAAATGTCAGCACTAATCTGGACTTATCCCTCCAATGAATTTGTTCCTTTTAATGATGAAGACTGTACACCTCACAGGGAGTTCATTATGTCATAACCATATGTGACTTCTAGGTGATCATATACCTTCTGATGATAGAATTCATGCACAGCTCATCTTTATAGCCATAGAGACTGAGCATGCCTGGCATATAGTAAACCCTTGGTGTTTATTAATGAGTGGAATTTATAAAATGTAATTCAGAAAAACTTTTTGGTGGGGGGTGCTTCTTATATATTAAACAGAACTTATTGCAGTTAAGTATCACCTCACTATGACCCCATCAGGAGCAAAGCCTTTCTATTTCTCCTGTGTCAGGGTGTAGCAGCGTTCTAAAGGAATGGTTAGGACAGATGAACTGGGGACCTGAAACCACACTTGACTAGCACAAGTGTGGGGAACTCCCTTTTACTGTAGGAAAGGAGAATGATCTGAAAGAAACCATTTCCTGCCCCACCTCACCACCTAATTTTCACAGAGAGAGAGAGTTGGAGGAAGAAGAAGAAGAAGAAGAAGAAGTAAAAAGTCATGTTTGTACAAACTCCCAATGCTATCCACATCTTAATAACGTTTCCACATTCTTCCTTGTATTTCTTTTTCATGAATTCTCGGTGTTTAGGGGTAGACAATTTTAACAGGAATTTTCTAATGCCAATAGGCACTACAATCACAATTCCACAGTCACCCTGGAAGATCAGTGGAGCTAATAATAAAAGTTGAGATTTCACCAGAGCCGTATTCAAAAGGACTATCCACAGCTACATACACTGCTGGTTCTCAGGCATTGCCTTTTCTGCCATTTCCCGATGCTTTCACTTATTTCAGCCCTCTCCCAAGTAGCAAATGACAAAGCAAGTATTGGGAGGTCTGGAAGTGAGAGAAGAGGGGCTTATTTTTCTTGCAGGTTATGAACATAGTTCCTACTATAAGCATTTGACACAGGCTGGCAGGACTGAGGGTTAGAACTGGAGATAACCCCCAGGACGAGGCGTATTCTAGGTGACTGCAGGTGCAGCTCGATTCCTTTACCAACACCGTCCCAGGGGGCCGCTCTCTCGGCCATCCAAGGAGATAATCTCCAAATGTACTACTTTCAAGGCTGCCATCTGTTGCTTTGCCACTGAGTCTGACTACCTAGATTTCCCAGGGGAAGGGCCATCATGCACCTCATTTTCGGGAGTCCCTTTTCACTATTCCTCTATGACATGTGCCCATTCAGAATCCAGATTGGCTACATGGCAAAGCTGATTTTCTGTAATCCTCACTGCCACCTCATGGAATAGATGTTCCTATCTTCCATTTATAGATAAGGGAACTGAGCTTCAGAGCAATGAAATGCATGTCTCAGTAGCACATTTATTTCATGTAGGCCCAGATTAAAATCGGAGGGTTCTGGATTCCAAAGTCCATGCTATTTCTGCCATGCCCACTTGCTTCCTCCCAGTCAAGTCACCACATATACGGACAGTGGGCTGCACAGCTAGACCCAGAGAACACACAGGACTGGCACCACCTTCTCCTAATTCCTATACTGGATTCTCAGCACACGCTCTGAGGCTGGGGCTGCCTGGCTCTCTCATGTCCTGTTTCATCGTTGTGTTTAAGTTTCTACTTAAAGAGTAACACACATCAAAATATAGCCTTAGGTGTCCTTCTTTTAAAACATAACACTTATACCTGGATTGATCTTTTCCTGCTTGACCTCTTTCCTCTTCTAACTTACGCTCACAACCAGCCAGCGTGGCAGTGACTCTTACGGTCAAAACTACTGTTGCTACAGTTACTCTTAAGATAAAACTCCAACCTCCCCACTGAGGTGTGAAAGTTTATTCATTTCCTGTCCCACCTTCACCTTATTTCCCATCACTCTTATTTTAATTGTTTCCTCCCTGAAATGTATGACAGTCACATTTTCAATGGCTTCAGCTAATTTTCATTTATGCTTGGAATTCTTCCTCCTTCCACTTTCACCTGAAGACGTCCTCTGCTTTTATCCCAGGATAGTTCCTGTTACTTTTGAGCTCATACCTCACCATTGGTCTCTGCATCCTTTGTGCCCACGCCCACAGCACCCCCAAGGCATTCACACCTGTCACACATGTATTAGTCTGTACCTTTCTTCTCCTCAGAGATGTGTGCTATCTCTGAAAAGCCACTGCCATGCTGAGGCAGAGAGCTGAGATCAGCAACCACTTGTTGATTAGCTAGATTTATGGCTCATTTCCACAGAGAGGTGGCAATACACTGGTTTTATTTATCAAAAGCCAAGACTGAGTCTAGGTTTTCTTTCCTTTCTTTAATTAACAAAACTTCATACTTTGTAGTTTTGAATGTTTAACTGTCCTAGGGAGAGCTGAGTGGTTTAGAAATGAAACTGAAAATTTCTGGAGTGCTGTGCTTGAGCCTTGAATGTGCTGATTTTCCTCAGGTGTTCCTGCATGCCTTTTGGAAACCCCTCTAAATCAAACCCAGGTTCTTGTAAACTGCCTGTGTCTTTTGTGCTATTAATTGCCCCTTGGAAGTCTCTGGCATCCAAAGTCTCCAATCAGAAGAACTGGGCTCCTCATTCAGGTCTAAAAATCAAAGACTGTTAGAAAGTCTGAGAGAGGGGACAAGCTGGTTCTTACCAAAGCATCTGCCACTTACTTTTCTTTGCCTTCAAGTAAGCCAGTACAGGATAAATAAGCTGAACCCTTTAATGTACTCCAGACATTTCCTTTAGTTACCAGATTGCCTAAGAAGGTGCATACAAACAATATACATTTCTGATGCACTAGAAGAAGGGCCCATCTGAGCCAAAGGATGCATTTTCTCTGCTGTGAAGCTCACCACTGCCTGAAAAGCATGTTTTCTATACCCAGGAGGGTATCACATCTGAACACTACTCCCAGTCCAACAGCCTGTGCTTGGGCCTGATGAAAAGGATGGGAGGTAAGTCCCATGTCTGGCTACCCTCTTCTGGAACCACTACCAGCTCGCTAGTCACTGCCTCACCAGGCCCTAGTCTGAGAAGGACAAGATCAAACAGGAGACTGAAGGGTGAAGGGGCGAAGGGAGCTGGGCTCAAAGGCAGCCACAGGGGATGGTATTCTCTCTTACCCGCTAGGCCTTTGTTTTTATTTCTCTCTCTCATTTTGCCTTGGGATCAGTTTTCTCCCAAAAGATAGAAAGGGGAGACTTCTAAGGGGAGAAAGGTTTACTGCTACTGGCAGTATTTTATTTTATGCTTTTGGTTCTTAATTGAGAGTTATTGAGTCAAACCCTGTTTTCTTTTTATAAATACCCATTTTTCTCAGCCTGCCAAAGGTGTGCATGCCATTCTTTGGCTTTACTCTAGAGGTTCACTAGCTAAGGACTGGTGAGAGGGGAAGACACATTCCTCTACCTTACAGGTTCAGGCTGGTTAAGGTAATCTTTTTTCAATTCTCCTCTATAAATAACCCTGAAGCAGCTGTTCTAAATGTCATCAGAGGCCCTATGGAAAAATAGATTTTCATATACTGGTTCTGTTGACAACGATAACTCAATAGGACATGTTACAGAGATGTCTTTTTGTTTAAGCTAGATTTTACTTAGCAGGTTTCCGAAAAGCGGCATTTTCCTAACCTGGGGTATGTGAAAGCCAAGGCCAGAATCCACCTTGACACAGGAAAGGAGGGAAAGGGCACGGTTGCCTAGGGTAACAGCAAGGTGTTGCTTACCTGTGATCATGCTCAGTGCTGACAGGCATGCTAAGGCTTGGATATCAAGATTCAGGCTCTGCAAACTTAAGGAAAAGTCTTTAATGGAGTCGAGCCACTCTCCAAATCCACGAAGGCACTGAAGTCGATGCAGGACAAGTCCATTGCAGAACACAAACTTATCTTCAGCAGTGTTCGACCTGTAAGACCAAGCCGTGGAGGGCGGGGTGAAGAAACAAATCAAGCAGGTCTTTCCAAGTGGGTAACACCCTAATACCCAGAACCCCAGACTGTCATGGGGCAGCCTTCAGAGCCCAGTGTGGGGCTGTGAAACCTTCCCAGATACCCCCATTTGTGGTCCTGGTCCACACCACCACTGTCTGTGCTGACTTCCTCAGTATCGGCTCAGAAGCTGCTCTCATTGCTAGAGTCAGTTGCCAGCTCACTTCTCTGTGGCAGGGACAGTACAAGACAGAGCAGGCATCTGGAGACCAGGGCACACCCTCTCTGTGCACCTTGCCCTTCCGTGCTCCTTGAACATTGCCTGTCCTTCATTTTCTTAAATGTCAAAACCCAAGAAGGCCTGAGGCTAAACACTACAATTCCATTGTGCAGACTCTTAAGCACACGGAGTACCTGCAAGCACCAGAAGTCAGTCACAAACTCAGAAAGAGCATAAAATAAAAGGAATCTTTATTTTGTTTTACTGTCTTTCTTCACAGTAGGGCTATAGAGGGTGATTTGTAAATGTGCCCCAATAGGTCATATGGTTACATCCATAGTCACCCTCTTCTTCTCTCATGAAAGCTACCCTGGAACTTCTACTTGGACATCAGCTTTTGGCTGTGGGGCCACAAACACACCTTTACTCTCTCTGAGCTGCCTTCTCCTCACCTTCCGACAGGAATTCTAATTGTTAAGATTGTAATGGGACTTAAATAAAGGCTTTAAAAGCCCATGCACAGTGGCTGGTTCGTAAGAGGAGCTCAGTGAAGATTAGATGTGACCAATTTCGATTCTCTGTCATCCTTACTTTGATTTTAACTTTTCCTTTAATTTTCAAATCTCTTGCCACAGTTATCTACCTCTCTGGGTCTATGAACAAGTTAATATCTCTTTAACTGCTCTTGGAGAATAGCTTTATTCATTCATTCCTTTCGCAAGTATTTCTGAGCATCAAACATAAGCCAGAGCTAGCCACTGGAAAAACTCAGTGGATGTGGTGTGTATAGTGTATGCCCATGTGGAGCTTATTCCCTACTTAACTGTTTGTTGCCTGCTTAGCAGATGACAGTCACATCGCTGACTCAATTTCTATGTACACTAGATTGGTGCAGATTATGAAAATTACGGACTTTGCTGTGATTCCATCTATGTGTCTCCTGCAGATGCTCCAGAGAGGCACACACAGCAGATGATTCACTGTCAGAGTTTAAAACCTGGACCTCAGAGCACCAGCATCAGAATCACTGGAGCATGAATTAGAGATGCAGGTTCCTGGACTTCCTCCAAGGTAGCACTAAACCAGAATACTTGGGAATGAGGCACAGGAATCTGCACTTTAAGTGAGCTTCTGGTAACACAGTATGAAACTGACAAGGGTGGAAGGGAAGAAAGGAAAGAGGGGGAAAGATAATGGTCTTTCCTATAGAAATTCTGGGGAAATGTTGGTACCATGTCCTATAAGTATACAACTACAAGGAGGCAAGGACAATGGAATTTGAAAACACTACATATTGTAGACTCCCCCAGCCCCTATAGAAAAGAGCATGAAAGTTTCTCAAAAGATTAAAAATGGGGTCCTCCCTTGGGCCCTCCCTGATGGCGCAGCGGGTTAAAGCACAGCACTAAGAAGCTTAAGCCACTTCAGCATGAGTTCGATTCCCGCCTGCCTGGGAGGTGATCCACATGGCGTGGCAGCCCTCTCCTGACCCGCCTGCTGCTCCCCTAGGCAGTGTACTTCATCAATCTGCCTGTTCTGCTCCCCACTCTATCTCTCTGGTGAATCTTCTCACCCTCCGCATCTCTGGCCTGTACCCCCGTACTGTATGAATAAATAAATAAATCTTTAAAAAAAAATGGGGTCCTCCCTGGTGCAGTGCAGGTTAAAGCACTGCACTCAGAAGCTTAAGCCAATTCCGCATGAGTTCGATCCCTGCCTCCCCCAGAGGAGATCCACATGGCTGGCAGACCTCTCCTGACCCGCCCGCTGCTCCCCTCAGCAGTGTACTTCGTCGATCTGCCTGTTCTGCTCCCCACTGTGAATCCTCTCACCCTCTGCATCTCTGGCCTGTACCCCAGTTCTGTATGAATAAATAAATAAATATTTTTTAAAAAAAGATTAAAAATGGACCTGCCATATGAGACCCGCAAGTCCACTCCTCGGTAGCTGCCTGCCCTAAAACCACAAAAACACTAATAAAGTAAACTGCACTTCCATGGTCATTGCAGCACTATTTACAATAGCCAAGCTATGGAAACAACCTAAATGCCCCTGAACAGATGAGTGGATCAAGAAGTTGTTGTCTGTATACATGGTGGAATACTACTTAGTGATCAAAAAGGATAAATGCATGTCATTTGTAGCAACATGGATAGGGCTGGAAGGGATTATATACTAAGCAAAATGAGGAAAAAGACACATATCCCAATATGGAATGGTATCACTTATATGTGGAATATAGAGAAACCCAACAAAGGACTAGTAAGTCACACTTAAAAATTAATCCTTGAAAACTGACTACAGAACTGAGGCAACCAGGGGTAGGGATGAGAACAAAGTGGAGAGTGAGCACAATGGACTGTGGTGGTGGAATGGTGGTGCTTTGTGGTGTGGTCACAGCACCAGAGGGAATCCCATACTTCCAAAATACTAACAATGATGTAAACTAGCATTACCTCACAAAATATAAATTAAAAAAAAAAAACAAAAAAAAAAAACGACATATTGACTCTGAGACAATTTTAAATTCCAGGTACTAACTTTCTGAAAAATCGCCACCTCTCTTTTGGTGTCACTGAACACAATAAGTTGAACCAAATCTACTTCAGAAGCTATCCTCTTCTAGTAAATGCTAGAGTTTACGATGCTGTGGGAAGTCTCTAGAGGCCCATCCAGTATATTAGAACAGTAACTTGTTAAATAGAAACCAGTGAGGTAAATGTGATGTTTAAAACAATTACTTGCTCCTATGACCTCCTTCATCTTGAGGATCTTCCTAGAATCAGAAGGTTGGAGCTGCAAGGGGATCCTTTAACCATTAAACCCAAGCTCTTCATTTACAAAGAAGGAAACAGAATGTCTGGAGAGGCAAGTAATCTGTGCAGGGTCTTACAGCAAGTCCCTGTTGGACCTGAAAGAGCCCAGGAGCCTGGATGCTGGGTCAGAGCTCTCCCCACTGTGCAATTCAATGTCTAACAGTACTTCTTATTCCCTTCTCGAGCAAACTTTTCACCTTTGGTTGAGTTACAAACACAGTAGGTTTTGAATGTTTTTTAAAGGAAGGAGTAAACTGAGGAAGATAAAAGGAATTACCTGATGGAAAGTCTAAGAACAAACAGCTCCAAAAAGGCTGATTCTATTAGTAATGTCTGATCTTCTTTAGGGAGATCAGTAAATCCAGGAATCTTTTCTGCCCAGCTTCTGGATACATCAATGGAGGCTGTCAGAAGGTTGTAGAACTGTTGTACGTGCTCAGCATCTGTGCCTGCAGCGGCCTGGTCAGTGGGACAGTACTAAAAGGCAAACCACAGATGGCAGAGTTAGCTCAGTTCAACTGGTTAATGACATCATTTGCAAATTGGCTTTTCCAATGCCTCCATCCATACTCTTAGGTCCCATGGTTTATCAAAGCCCCTTTGCACTCATAGTCTCACCTGCTTCTCACAGTGACCCTGTGATATGATATAATAAATAGAGTGAATTTTGTCACCATTTAATAGAAATTTGCTGACATTTCATTAAATGCAGTAGTTTTCAACCTTGACTGCAATTACCTAGAGAGCTTTAAACAACACTCATGTCGGGGTCATATCCACAATGATGCTAACTTAACTGGCCTGGGATGGGACCAGTCATCAGGAATTTTAAAAGCTCCCCAGGTGATTCCAAAGGGCAGCAATCATCACACAATGTATGTCTAAGTGTCTACTGATTCCACTGGACAGAACAGCTGTCTCCAAACAGATGCTTAATTAATCCATGGTCCTCCAAATGTGCTCCCTGGACAGCAACAGCAGCACAACTTGGGAGTGTACTAGAAATAAAAATCTTGGGCTTCACCCTATACCTAGAGATTAGTAACTCAAGGGAGTTAACTGTCTTGATATGGCAAGACAAGAGATAGCAATGCAGGCACTTAAGAGAGCTGTAGAAATTCTTATGTAAATATGTACCTTCAACTTATTTTATAGATGAGAAATCCAAGGATCAGCGAAGCAAAGAGATTTTCCCAAGTTATATAGTTAGCTGTGGTAGAACCAAGAGCTACACATGGCCCAGTGATTTCAAGGCCTAATCTGGCTGTGAATATGTCATTACTACCTGGTCATCCATGTTTAAAGCATTGTTATGTTGGACTCTAACTGGAGGCCTTCAGACATGTATTCACTGGGCTACATTTATGTCAACAGCACAGTGACTGTCACATAATGGTACTTCAATAAATCATGCCTGAATCTTGTTCCATGAACGAATAGTCAGGGGAGTTCCTTGTTTCGCCACTGTGCCTAAAAGCTGGAGGAAAAACAGCCAGTTGAAAAGCCAGTTGCTTAATTGGGGAACCCTACTTAATTATGCCCAAGGAAATGAGGTGCTGTTTTGATTGGACCTATTCCCTGCCCACCCCCCACACTTTGTGCTTTCCCAAGAGGCATCATGAACGGACAAAAGAAACACCTCCAAGGACACTAGCAACCCTAACCCTGTGTTTGTCCAGGTCCCTAACCTGTGAAATAATGCAGCTGTCCCACTTACTTAGTTTTCTGCGATAAATTACTTCACTTTTCTGAACCTCAGTTTGCTCCTTTGTAAAAGGGGGATAATACTTTCCTCAACATGTCATAATGAAATGTGAGACCACTTGTGAAGCATCCAACACACAGAGCACTTTTAACAAATGAGAGCATTGATGATACTGAGTGTGTCTGTAACACACTGTCCCTTAGATTCCATATTTATAAAAAGAGGGAAGGGGTTGAACCAGAAGGTTTCCTGTTTGCAGCCCTGACATTCTAGAATCTTATCACATCAAGTCCAGTTCAGAACCCTGGCTCCTCTATTCCCAATCACCCCCTTGAAGGCTGGGATTCTCTGTATATTCTATGATGTAATGGACCATGGGAGCCACGTGCAGGAGAAGGAAGCAGTCCTCTTTCCCAAGGATGTTAATTCCAGGATGGTGGCAGTATCCTGTGCGTAGACACCTCTTAATGCCCTTCTGCACCTATACTAGCCACTAAAGGAGAGTGGGAAAAAAGGAATTTTATGTTATTATTTTTTTACATTCTCTTTGATAACTCTAACTGCACTTGCTCTTTAAGGGCAGGATGAAATTGAGGGTGAACCATTTTTTAAAAGCTGGTAGCACTACACAGGAAATTAGCAGTGGGTGGTAACATGGAATAGAGAAAATATGTTGGATCAGGCAGCAGGTCATGGGGTCCTCCTCTGGGTTCTGGCAGTGACTTACTATGCAACCCTAGAGAAGTCACTTAACCTCTCTGTGTCTGCGTCTGCCTCTGAAGCCACTGGACTAGCCAAGTTCACTGGCTCTTGCTGAAAGTTTAGTTTCATTGTGGTCTGACAACAAACACTTTAATTTATTAAGGTGTGATTTATGATCCCAGGTGTGGCCTATCCTGGAGAATGTTCCATGTTATGGCTATTGCATTTGATGATTCTGAATGTTACTAATAACGTCAGTTATGATGAAATTGCCTAGAATTTAACACTGATTCAGCATTATTTTCTTTTGTAACAGTGTCTTAATTGGAGAGAAAAGGACTATAGGCCTTGGAATGGAGCCTAATATTTTCCTTCATCACTAATTTCCCTGATACCATGGCTTACAACTCAACAATCGCTGCTTCTAGTATTTGTTCAGAATCCTCCAGAGTGCTTAGTGTTCACCTGGAGCTCTCTGCAGACCTCGGCCCCTGCTGGGTTATATTTCATGCATCCTGCACACAGGAAAATGTGGTCCCTGTCTATACTACATACAAAATTTTCTCTGATTGCTCCAGCAAGGGGAAAATCTAGCAGACCTTGTGTGTCAGATTCCAGCCAGACGTCCTAGGTTTCACCTACAGTGATTCTGGTCCACATTCTAGAATTCTGGAATCAAACTGCATTCAACCTGAGGAACCAGTAAGTTGGGTGTGGCCCGAAGATTAGCATATAACACTGGGGGGGAAAGACAACCAAGTATCCCCTCTACAGAATATAACATTTAAAGAAACAGCAGAAAATATTTTTGATTCTTTTTCTGCCTGCCCTTACAGTTTATAAACCTTCACTTAAGGAATTCTGGACCAGCAGTTGGAAGAACTGGGCCCCAGTTTGGCTTCTACATTCTTCTAGCCGAACTCTGTTTCTGGACAGAGGAGATCTAGGGTTTAACCAAAGAAAATCTAGAGATATTTGTTTATTGATTCCAATTGGCCAGAGAAAGACTTTAAAAATGAATCCCTTTTCCTGTATGTGCTATTTTTATTCTAACCTATATGGAAATTGATTCATTAAAAATCTGGCTTTACAACCAGCCAAAGACACAGTATTACATTTACTGACAGCTGGTATCTAGAGGAGATTTCTCCAAAGCACCTAGAATAAGAATCTAGAGATGCCGATAATGATAGATGTTTAAAGTAAAATGAGTCTGCATATTTCATATGGCATCAACACTATTATACAAGTCAGACTTCAGAAATGGCCTAGGTCTAAAATAAAATTTTTAAGTGGGATTAAGTGAGATCCTTTGTCAATACCAACCCCTCCAAAATTAGCAACACAATGCCTTTATAATGTGAAACCTATTTACTTTATCTCACCTTAGTCCAAGTTAAATTTGTAATATAGCCTTATAATATTTTATCCCTCCCATGTTACTTTTTCCTGGGTCTAATTTCTTTATATATATTGAATGTGATCATTCTATGAGCCATAAAATTATATAAACATAGTAGCTTAACTTTGTTCTTTAACATAGAACTTTAAATAATAGCAATTAATCTGTTTTCCTCTACATTTCTTCTTTTTCAAATAATAAGCAACAAAGCTTAAAAAACCTTCCTCTCCTATCTGCGGCATCCCTTTATTTAGTTACTTATTTCCTTGATCTTTCCTTCACTGGCACGTAAGCTCAGTGATGGAGGAACTTCTTGACAACAATGTTCTCTAGAACAGTGCCTGATACCCAGGGGCTTTTTAACAAATATTTGCTAAATTAACTAATTTATGGAAAATTCACTTTTCTCTTGTTCATGCCTTCTCAGCACCTCCCCCCAAAAGCTGGCAAATAGGTCATTCAAAATAAAACTAAATTATATTGACAGTATTCATACCTGATTTTGCCAAAGAATCATCCAATGGACTTATTAAGTGTAGATTCCTGCCTGTTACCCCCCCTCTCCACCACACTGCTCCCCCACCTCAACACACACTCTAGCTCTGCTCCAGTAGGGCTGGGAGTCTGGGTACCACACTTTGGGAAATGCTGACTGTACCCCTAGTGGAATCCTAGCAGGTACAACAGACTGAGGGTCAGGGGTTGAGAAGGTTGCACAAGATTACTGGAGTGCACTTGGTCTAACCTCCTCACTGTGGGAAACTGAGGTCCACAGGAGGGCAGGAACTGGTCTGAAATCACCTAGTGAATTGGTGGCAATGTGAGGGTCTTCTGGGGAGTCCCATGAGACTGCTCTTTGCAGGAGCTTCACGCTGTTTGCTTTGTATTCTACTTGTCTTACATTTCTCGGGCTCTCATGTTGACATATTTAGATGCTATTTGCTGATGCCTGCTTTTATCTGAGCAGAATTTCCTGTATTGTTACTATGCTAAGTGACACCAATTGCCAGAAAACATTCTATTTTGCTGAAAAATACTTGAAATGACCAATTAATGAGGATGTTAAATATATTTTCTCATCGGTAATTATGCAAGCTATGAAGCCAAGCCTTGTATCTATATATACTTGTATTGCTAAATTAAAAGCAACTGTGAGGCAGAGAATAGCAACATTTCGAGGAGAAACAAATCAAATATGACAAGTTTTGACTGTACTGATATATAGTGATCTGAGCTCACTTTTGAAGGAGGGAAGTTTGGCCCAAAGGAAAAGAGAAGGTCCTAGCGCCAGGAACGCTTCAAGAGCAGGGAGCTGTCTTGCTGGCCTTTAAAACATTCATTCCCTCTGTGACTTGGAACACAACTCCTCCATCTCCCTTTTCCACAAGTGGGGAAAACCATTGACTTACTATCTTATCGGCACCTACAGTACAAAAGATTAGAACATACCTGTCTGGAAAACATTTTCTCATTTCTCTGTATCCCTGATTCACTTGGGGCAATTAGTACCTTTCATATATCGTTTTGGTCAAGAGAGCTATTTGGCTCAAATGTGACAGGGAAAATTCTAATTAAAATATAGTAAGCCATGGATATACACTAAAGTTTACATTGGTTATCACAAAGGAGTGACATTAGGCAAGAAAAATGTAGGTGAGACTTTCATTTTTCATTTAGCCACTTCTAAATCATATGCCTTTTAAAAAACTGTGGCTATATATTATCTAATAAAGCGTCTATTTTTTAAAAATCAAGTAAACTGAATAAATAGAAGTGGCAGTCTGGTGGAATTGGAACACTTTAACTTGAGTAATGTGTAAGGTCAGTGTTCTGCCACTTAACCTGTGTAGTCTTTATTTACTCCTCTAAAAATATGAAGGTTGAATGGGATGCTCTCAAGGTCACCTCTAATTCTATGAATTGTAAATATATGAAACTTTAAGGAGCAGATATTATGAGCATTGAATTTCAGTGAATGACATTCTAAGGAAATTACTGAAGCCATAAATTATACAACCTAAAGCTGGGGCTTAAATGATTATGTAAGAACATATGTGATGGTGCCTAACTCAAATGAAGCACTTGATAAATTCATTTCATGCTAATTTTTTTAGTGAACTAAGCAAGTTCAATTTTGTTAAATGACAAATCACAACACATATTCTTGTGCGTGTGTGTATAAAATCACTTGCATTTGGGGACAATAAGGTAAATGCCAGAATCATAAAAACTTAGGGCTGGAAAGAAATGAATATCATCCAAAATAATCTCTTCTCTTAAAGTTCTGTTACTTGTTCTCCTTAGTTACTTTTAATGTTGGTGAGCTCATGCTCCCATAGCAGTCCCTGTAACTAAGATCTCATTTGTCCTTGTCCTTAGAGTAAGCTGCAAGGGCCCCTCCTTCTCCCTCAAGAAATGCTCTTAGGAACAGCAGTCTTCTTTGCATCAAGGCAAAAGAGTGACCAAATTCCAAACCTTCTCATGTCCTGTCCACATAATTCCATTTTCTCTAACTACTTCTTACATGTTTCTAGAAACAGTGGATCTAAAACCCTGTTAAATCCCAACTTGGAACTAGAAGGGTGGTCTGATGGGACAGAGTTAAGGGGATCCTCGCCAGCTTGGTTCTGGCCTCATACTTCTACTCTCACAGTCAAGGCCATTTAGCATCCCTCCTTCCCAGCACACGTAACACCTTGCTGCATTATATTGCCTGTGTATAGAATAAACTCTTAACATGAACTACTGACAGGCCAAGGTTCTCCCATTTTTTGAAATCTAAATGCTGAGATTCACATTTATTTTTGTTAACTTTCTTCATGATGATTTCAGCCCATCCTGTTCCAACCTGTCGAAATCACTCTGAATGTTGATACTGACATCCATCATATTAGCGATCCCTCCCAGCTTTCTGTCATCTGCAAATGTGATCAGCATGCTTTCTATGTCTTCATCCAAGTTTTTGATGAGAACTCTGTATTTTTTTAAAAGTCTTTTAATTTAATTGATTTGGGTCCAATTTTGATAATTTTGTAAAGCTATCTAAAAGGAGGAAAATCCAAACTATGAGGTTCAACCCTGATTCAAAAACAGTGCAATAAAATAAATACACTTTACAAAATTGAGCCAGGCCCCGAAGGTAGCATCAATGTGACCCAGACTCTGGCACGCTCCATCTGCTATTTTGGACAAAGCTAACAATTAAATTGGATAAATGTTTGTTGATGAGGATGATGACTCCAGTCTAACACACTGAACAGTACAGAGGCAAGCAAACACGCTGGATTGATTTTTCAGTGTGGAGACAGTTCCCAGCTGGGACAACTCAAAGTGCTAGGGCGGCTTTGTCACTGAATGACTAATTAGGCCATGTAGCCCAATAATTGGATAATTTGGGGCCAAAAAATCACTTTTGGGTTTAAATTCTCTGGACTGACCATTAATTGCAGCTTCACATGCATTGGAACAATATCAGATTCTGCGCTGTGTGGCAGCATCGGCAGTGCATAGACGCTTCTTTAGTTCAGGCAGATTGTGTAAAGGGGAGGTCAGAGTTGCTTCAGAAAGGAGCAATATTTATTTCTAAATACATTTCTTGCATCTCCTCTCAGTGAAACTGGAGAAGCTGTGAACCTTGGTATTTAGGAGCATAGATTTAGGGATCCAATCCACTTGACTTCTAATTCTATATTTGATACATATTAGCTGCACGAACCTGGGTGACTCAGTCCTTTAACCTTTTCCAGTTGTAATTTCCTCATCTGTGAGTTAGAAATGATAATATCTACCTGAGTGATATTGTAATATGGCACCTGACATCGGTACTGTTTGTGCTCATTAGAACTCAACAAATGGTAGAATCAAAATGGCTTGGTCAAGGAGAAAACACAGACAGAACTGGACAAAATCTGTAACAAGTATTATCTTGTTTCAATTTTCACAATCCGATACTATTATTGCTTCACTGTAGGAAACTGAGGCATTACAAGGTATAATGAGTTGCTCAAAGTCACCTACTTCCTAAACGATGGTGTTGGGATTTTAATCTAGCCTGCCTGGTTCCAAAGTCTAAATCTTTAACCACAGCATTATTCTTTCAGACTATTATTTGAAACTTGACTTCCGTAAAGAGATGCTACTTATAATCAGAATAAGAGTCCTCAACCTTTGGTGTTAAGGATCTACCACCCTTCTATCAAGTCCTATGATCAGGTGTTGAGAGGAGGCTTCACAGTCTGTAATGAGGGTGGGGCAAGGGAATGAGGATCACAGTGGTGTATCAATCACCCTTTCATTTCTGTCAACATTGCAACTTAAGGGAGAGCACATCGAAGATAGGTTCATACTCTGCCAGCCATTCAACCAGAAGTTTGAAATATTGATTAGACCTTGGGAGGGCAATGTGGTAGTAACTGCCAAGCCAGATCACCCAACTGGGTGTTCTTGGGCTATGCAGCATGTGTTTCTATGGTTTTTAAGAAAGCTATGAGTGGAAGTAACTATCCTTGCATTTCATGGTTATTTAAATGATTAAATGAGACAATCTATCACAATATCCATTATGAAAAAATTGCTCAATAATTGTGATCCTTTTTCCTTCCTTTTTTGCTTTGTGTGACCCTGTCTTACTAGAAGTTTACTTTTCGAAGTGTTCTTTTTTTTTTTGTAAACTGCCTGATAGTAATGTTTATACATTTGCTCAGAAAATACTTTATCATGCTGCCTTTGTGTTATCATAATTTCTGGGAATATTGAAAATTCAAACTGATATTTTACAATACCCCATATGAAATTAAAATGTTGATATTTTTTGGTTGACTTAAACAACACCACCAGTAATCATTTATGGTTTTCAAAACATTTTCACAGACACCATTCCTGTGTGACTGATGTTCAAAACATCCCTCTGAGGTTAAATATTGTAATCATCTCCACTGTAGGGATGAGAAAGCCAGGAGTGGGAGCCAGATGACACAGGCAGGAAGCAGCAGCAGCACCGTTCTATTCCTGTCCTCCTGACACCTCCTAATGTCAAGGTTAAGGCTTGTTCCTCTCCATCAGTGGTCTAATCCCTCTAAATAAACAGCAGGTCAATCAATGCCCATGCAATTGGATGAACTACTTAAGGATATCTTGAGGCTCACCCACATGGTTTGATCACAATATGAAAAAACCAGTAGTTACTTCGTGTGAACCGTGAAAGAAATCTACAAATTATCATTCACCTGTGCAGATTTTCATTGGCACAACCACCAGGAATCCTGCAACAATGGTATGACAGCTGCAGCTCTGTCAGCATCATTTTTTAAGGCATTTAGAGAGTCAATAAAGCAAACATTATTTGATGCAATGGATGCACTGGGATTGCTAAATGAAGTAAGAATTATAGAAAAGGTATGAAACCAGCTTAGCACAGTGTCAGGCACAAAATCATTCAACCCACTCTTATTACAAGTATCAAAATATAGATTATGAGTATTCATTGGAAAGCAGGACATCACAAAACTTACTCTGGAATAATCAAGATCTCTGGGCGTTGAATCTGTTAAAGCTCGGACAAGGGCATTCATCATACAGACCGGAGGAGAAGGCGGGGAGGGCTGAGAAGCGTCCTGCTGTAATGGGCTCTTTGGTTTGGAAGGCAGCCGACCTCTCCTCCCTTTCAGACTATCTGTACGGACAACTGATGGTGAAAAGAAAGGGAAAAAAATGTCTTCAAAGATATCCATGAATAGTCATAAATGACAGAAAGAAATCAAAACAACTACAGTTGAACAATCATGAATGAGACCAACCTTTTAAAAGTAGTAGTAAGTTTGGAATAAGTTCACACAATGATTTAATAAGAGTTGAAACAAGCAGCATAAAAGCCATCCTATTCTTACGTTTGATAATGAATTAGCTCTAACAGTCTCCTTCTTAAATAGAACAAAGATGTATGTACACAAGCTCTCTATTGATTTGAGAAATTAGAATAAGTAGTCCTCAGCTATTTTAAAATAACAGGTTGGAAGGAAAGGGAAACTAGGAAAATACACCACCCCAACATAAATATTAACATTTTTCAGTGATAGCTGAGAATATGTATGAGTGAGCTGAATCAAAAGCATTATATCCATACCTTCTTTAACCATTCCAACACTGAGACATTTCTGGAATCGACAGTACTGACATCGGTTTCGGCGCCTCTTGTCCACGGGGCAGTTTTTATTTGCCAGGCAAACATATTTTGCATTTTTCTGCACTGTTCTCTGAGAAAATACAATACAGAGATAGTCAACTAGTAGTTTCTGGAAAGAGGTAGGACCTGACAAGATGTATTTTAATTACAATGTGAAAAGCGACAGTGCAATTCGTATAATTAGATAAATTTAATTTCCTAACACGCTAGCCTGCAGGAAAAACAATTTTATTAGTGTTAGCTGCTGACAATGAAAATCATCTCGGATTGTTCTGAAGCAAGTCTCAGGAGACATCCAAGTCTGAATGATAAAATCATATCTGAAATTACCAGGTCAACATATCATACCTTGGAGAATTAGATTATCTCCACTTTTAATATCCCTTTGGGAACAATTTTCTACTTGTTCTACTCCCCTGATTATTGCTGACCTTATTAAAATAAAATCAAAATTATCTGGGATGTACTTTGTTGACTATCACTATTGTAAGTCAAATATTATAGTAGCTGGCTTTGTTCCCCAATAGAGACAAAATCATCAAAAGCAAAAATCATGACTTGTCTAATTAAAGCACATAGAAAATAATGTTTTAATGCAAGAAACTCTCAACCTGCCTGTGTACCTTATTTTATAACTAACGGAATATATTTGGGTTGGTAACCTGGCCATTTTTTTTTTTTTTTGGAATGCAAGTATTAAAATTGAATACTAAAAATCACTCTTGTAGCCAAGAAAAAAAAATGAATGAAAGAAATATGAGAGCCATTATTTTCAATGAAAATTCACATTATTAAGTTATTTCATAAATGAATATAGACATAGACATCAAAATAGCCTTATTACAAAAGACTCATCATAAAACTTGGGCTTGGATATAAGATAATGTATTCTTCAGAATCACATATAACTTTAAAATGACACATGGAGAAATAACCATGCATATTTTATGCTCCAAAATTTTAAAGTGCTTTATTTTTTAAAATTAAAAGCATTTGTGCAAATGGCTGTGTTTTTACTACTTATGGTGAAATCACTCAGAAATAACCTGAACCTAAAAAACTCCAACAAAGCATTAGGTTGGAATTTATTTGACAAATTACATGGTAAGAAATCCAGGTAATTTGGGATTGGTGATGTATTTTGTGTCCAAAATTCTAGATTTACTTGTACTCTTTCAGCAACCCTCCACCCACATGTACAAGTTTTCACCCTGTTGCCTTTCAATTTCATTTTAGAAGATAGTTTCTAAACTGCTTACATAATACCTTAAAAAATAACAAAGCCAAATATATTCCTCTTGCTTTAGTAAGGTGCTTCTAGTTAAAAATTCAAATTTTCAAAATACCAACATACTTCTGAATTTCCAGCATTTAAATTCTTAGCAGTTTGTAAGGGTGGGAAATATGTGTTTCCTAAATGAAGCTCTTCTTCCTTGAACATGCAATAATTTCTAAAACTATTTTTTTTGCCATCAACCTCAGTGCTATGTGCCAACGTGAGTACCAGTGGCATTTTGCCTCAGGTGTACATTTTCCCAATAACCTGAAACCTTTCCTACATTTGTGAACAGTTTAAAGACAGGGAGAGATCGTTACAGTTCAATCACTGAATTCCCATCATTAACTGCACTTCATGTCACATTTTTAAAGAATTCAATTTAATGGTAGAAAGCCACTGGGTAAAACCTGCTCCCGTTCCCTTAATTAACAGATCTGTGGGGTGGTTCTTCCTCATCCTACCCCCACCCGTTCAGGTATAGATTTGTTTTCAGGGGATTGCTACAGAAAAGTGAAGCTGTTGGGAAACATTTAATTGACATTCCTAGGCTAGGGATATGTATTAGCACTCTAGTATTCAGGGGGTGATTATATTTGTGGGTTACTGGTAGTTTTTCTTAATTGTTTTTCTTCTTTCCCCCCTTTTGGCCTCCCATTTCATTGCCCTTCAGTATTTCCACTAAGATGCTGTAAAAATCAAATCTGCTCAGGGAACTCAGTTATTTGAAAGTAGCCCTTATAAAGTTTGAGTAGTTAAAAGGGGAAAAAATTGCTAAACCACGAGTTCTACACTTGAAACATCACAACCTTCTATATGTGTTTGACATTTAAGATATTGCACAGTCTTTCCACAAGAATATTCTCATTTATCTGAAGAATTTAATTAATCACATGAATCCTCTCCCTAGATCAAAAATAACTGTTGTTTGTTGGGATGTAGATCAACCCACAAACATGTGCATTTTTACAAATATTTTGTAGTTGACAATAATGAATTGATGTGTTATGGTTCTTTAAAGATTATGAATTGCTTTCATACATATGTTACCTTATTTAATAATGCCCTTTTCTGAATTTTATTCAACTAATATGGAAACTGTAGCCTGGAAAGACATGTCATACCCAATGTCATATAATTGGTTAGTGACAGCTCAAATACTCCTATTTGATTGCTATGACTCTAAAGCCAGCGTGCTTCTAGATAGATCTTATTGGCCTCCCAAGTCCCAGTTACCCAATCAGCACCCAGCTTCCCCTCTCCATCCTGCCCACCATTGGAGGATAGGGAGTAATTTTGGGGGGAACAGCGTTTATGGGCTTGTAAATGCTTGCAGCAAAGAACTGGGTTGGGTAACACAGAATTAAGTGGAGAAGTTGGAGAATTAACAGAAAAGGGAGAGTAGTAACATTCCTCTGAAATGTTAGAAATCTGAGCATTGGCTCAAGAGTCAGGAGAAACCAGCTGGACTGGCCCATGTGCTGCTGAATCACAGTGCACAGGCTGTACAAGCCTTCGCTTAGGTTTCAATTCCATAAGGATAAAATCTGGGGGAGACTAAAGACCCACACATAGCAAAACTCTCTGGGCCTGTAAGATAATGACAACCTGGCACTATGTGTGGAACAGAGGGGAGTAGATTGGTGACCTCCAGACTCCAGTGTCTATCTTCTTTGGCGGAATCCTTCCCAAACTGTCTAGCCAATTGTTCCTGTCTATTCTGCAGTTGCAGAGCTGTGCAAGGGTGTGTGCTATGCGGTTTCATGTGTGTGAGCTGTTATTCTCTCTCCTTCTCATTCTCTGGATGTGTCTCCATTTCCTTGCCTATCAAACAAGGATAATTACTATGTACCTGGGAGATAATGTTAACAAACATAGCCAGTAGTGGCCAGAATTCAGTCTCAGGTTTTTCTGTCTGTTTGATTCTAGTGTCCTAGCTCTTAGGGTTGCTTGAGATGCCCTGGGTCTGGCACACAGCCTTGATCCACAGAGGAATGCAGCGAGGTTTCTGCATGGTTGAGGTCACAGATCCTTTAGAGAATCTGTTGAAGAAAAATGCTCATAAAGTAATGCTGAAGTTGGGTTCACAGACCCTTCGAGTTCATCTCGGGGGTCTTTTTGTACTGAACCTCAAATTAAAGCTTCTTGAGAAAATGGATGTGGAGATGCTGGGAAAGACGGCAGGCACAGAGGGCATACCGATGACACCTGTCAAACTCGAACGGACTCATTTGGATGTTGTGGAGTGTCAGCAAAGGAGCTGGCCCAGAGGGAGGGGGCGCCAGGGGGCGGCGTGCGCTCACCTTGAAGAAGCCCTTGCAGCCCTCGCAGGTGCGTACGCCGTAATGCTGGCAGGCGGCGTTGTCCCCGCACACGGCGCACGTGCCCTCGCCGGACGACGAGCTCCTGTTGGGGGGCGATGGCAGGCTGGGGCTCTCGCCCAACAGGCTGGGCGCGGTGGGGGAGGCCGTGAGGCCCAGCGGCGGGAAGGCCAGGGCGGGCGCCCTCTTGGCCATCGGCAGCCCATAGGGGTGACCCTCGAGCGCGGCGGCCTGGCTGCT